TATGGGATAATTGATTGGATGGTCATACCGAATGCTGGAATAACTCAATATACATACACATATAAACGCACCCGCTATGAATGGCAAAAATAAAACAAACACGCCAACAACCACGAACAGGTAGCCCCAAACACAAAATAGGTGACTGAGTGTACTACCAGAACCACCCAGTATCTAAGGAGGACTAGGGCTTCTACGCAGGTTTCGCCCCAAAATGCTTGGGGCCAGTCAAACTAAAAAAATACCTGGGAGGCAGGGTATTCATCACCGAAACCAACCCAGAACACAAACTACATAGTTCATACTTTAAACACACTCCACCTTCGGGAGAATCCAATAGTGACCAAATTAATTGCTATTATACAGATAGCAGACCAACGTACTCTGAGGGAAGACCCAAGGAAACGGTTCAACCTTACGAACTCGGACTACCACCCCGGCAGATCAGCCTGGCTGACATCGTCCAGGAACTACTAGACGGTGCCGCAGCAAACCTGTTGATGGCCAGAAGTCTAGAGGGTTGGGCCGTGGGAATCCCCACTTTGGAAGACCTGATCCGGACTTGGCAGGAACAGAACCGCCGAACCGCAACCAGAAATATCGAGACCCAGACCCCAGTGGAGGAGCAGTTAGAGGGAGCAGCAACGTCGAGAGGAAAAAAGACGGGACTACCCCCCACGCCCATACTATAGGACAAGTGGCGAGGTGGGCCGTAGCGGCTACACTCCCGGAGCTGCTATCACACGAGGCAGTGCTGATAGCGCTGGACGTGGGAGTAGTTACCCTACCAGCCAGGGTGAGCAGAGTGTACAGACTCGTCAAGCGGCCGAGCCCGTATACAACTCACCCAACCAAAGTGGTATCAACGAAGATTCAATCCCCGAGGTGGACCAAATCCCCGACAACGGCACCAGTCCGGTCCGAACCGTATCCGAACCGGATTGATTATTAAAAATAATAAATTAAAATAAATAAATACATTTTAATATTTAAGCTAAATAAAAAATTATTAAAAAAAATAAGAATGAATTTTTGACACACTTGGGTGACTCATGTTCAGTTTGATATAATAACTTATAGCTTATATATAATAATATAAATTTAAGCGATATATAACGGTAACGAAGACGAAAAAACACAGTTCAGTAGTAGGTACAGTCGAAGTGTCGTACAGAGCATAGTAAAGAGTTAACGATACTCGCATTAGTTTTAGGTATTTATTATCACTGAAGGCATATTAGTAAAGTAACAATTATAATTTATAATTTATATGACTACTTTCTCTGAATTCTGAAACACTTATAAACGTCCAAATTGCTATTATTTTCAAAAATTCTACATTAGCTATTGCGGATTGCGATTTGAGGTTCAATAATAATATTGATATCGATTACATGGAAATTAGAATTTAGATTTTTGGTATTTATTTTATGACAGTTTTGTTGTACACATATTCTTACTTCTTAGCATTGATAAACTTTTATAGGTCTACGGTTTTATGTATATTTATTATTACTAATAAGTAATAACTAACTTATAACTTATTAGCTATTACCCACTTACACCATAGATAAATAAAATATATATAAATAATAATGGAATTTGGAACTGAAAAAACCCTTAAAAACCTCTAAAACAAAATATAGGTTTCGGTTTCTAAAAAAATGTATTTAAGGGTTCCGATCCGGTTTCAGTCCCAATATTTTCAAAAGGTTTCGATCCAAAACCTGTCAATTTCGGTACGGTCTCAGTATCTGGATCAAACCCTCAAAAATCGTTTATAGTGTTTATTAATGTGTACTTATTAAGTGTATAATACTGTATAATATGGTGTTTTTTTTTAATTAGAATGAATTAAAATTGTTAACTTATTATTAAATTGGTAAAAAAGACAACGAGTGAGGGGGATATAACCCCTTACCTCCCCTATATTTGTTTTGGCTATATTACTATAAAGAAATTGTATTATATTATTCCTATTAAAGTGAGTTATTTAATATTTATACTTTAAAAGTTTAAAAGATACTCAAGTACGTATGAATAATATTTTTAAATTACAAAATAATAGATATAACTAAAATTGTTGTTCTCCGCCTTTAAATATAAAATTTTGTTCAAATTTAATCTTAAAACATCTATAAAAAAAAATTTGTTTATATATATATTTAAATTTTTTGATTACAATATACCTATTAAGACCCTTGCATTACTTATTTTTCAATCCTACGTGTATTACACTCATACACCATGTAAAGATCAATAGTTCTGCAGGACCAACAGCCCCACCCTCACACTAAAGGAACTTTGTATGGCTATTATAATACTAGTATTTATAAATTATGTCTATTGTACTACCTTCTACCATAACATATAATATTATTTATATTTAATTATGATTATAAAATAATATTTTCTCCAATTGTGTAATAATAAATAATAAAATACATGTATCAGCTGGAACGCCTGAAATTCATTATTCGAACTATCTTTGCTGAAGTTCTCTAGTTACAATTAAAGTTATAATTAAAAGGGCTCTGAACATTCTCATTGAATATTACCTATTGGCTATTATACGGCATGCGCGTAAAAGTGTGTTCAACGATAAAGATAACACGAAATATATCATTTCACTTGAGGTTTTAATTCATTGCATAAAGGAGTAAAAGGATTATAAGACCTATTTTGAAAAACTTTTGGGCATGCGCAAGTGCGCAACTATCACAAAAATTGACTTATTGAGAGTGAGTTAAAGTTTTTATCAGGGCTCGCATTTGAAAAAAAAAACATTCCATTTAATGTTATCTACAATTAAAACATTATACACAATTTTTGCGTTTATCGTTACTTAGAATTAAAACGTTATACAAGTTATAAAATAGTGTTAATACCTATTAAATTTAAAAATAATAACTAATTTGGGTATAGGAAAATGTATAACCTTCATAGGTAATGGCCCGGATACGGAATATAATATAGGTAATCGATTCTTAGATTGTTTGCATGAAATAAACTACGAAACCAATAGACCTTTTAAATAAATAGATTTTAAACAATTTCGTTGAATGATATTCTATAAATTACGTTTTGCGTTAGGTATATTTTGTTTTATGATATATAATAAACAATTTAAATCACAAAAAACATTTGAAAATAATAAACAATAACAATTTGGAGGACGGAGTGGCCGAGCGGACTAAGGCGTCGGTTGCGACGCGCACCGACGCCGGTTCAAACATCGGCCTCGGGCGGCACTTCTCTTCGGGCAGTCACGGTGTACTCGGTGTAGGGAGAGGAAGCCACACCCCCCGCTCCGGGCATGACAGATACCTACAGGTGCCTACTTGAAAATTCTGCCGAACCAAAACACAAGTGTTTACCAACCTACAATATCATCACCTACAAACAAACAAACAAATAAACAAGTTTAATGATCATTAAAAAAAAAAATATAATAATAAATAATTGTGGATATACTGTTCAAAAATTCTATAATTAATATACGAGTAGGTACACCATGGATATATAAAAACTTTAACTCTATCTAAATAAGCAAATTTTTAAGATACCAAAAAACTTTAAAACTCAAAGTTGATTGAAAAAATTAAAGCAAATCAAATTCAAACAAAAAAATGGGGGTTACAATGAAAAATTGTTTTATTGCACATGGTCGAATATATTTAATATCAAGTATGTTTTATATGCAATGAAAAAACCAAAAATTAAATTCCTGGTCATATTTTCGATGTTCAAAATATTTCGTGGTACCTGCCTATTTTTATACCGTTGAACACACTGCATAATATTACAAGTTCCCCAAACTTGTTCCACTCTAATAAAATCTGAAATATGTAACATTAAATGTCTATAATAGATCCAAACTATTTTAAAAAGTTTACCATCTCTTTAAAATGCATAGATAAACGTTTGTTGAAAATTTTAAATGTCTACAGACTTATACGCATATGCGCAACTAGGGACATTTTTCTGAGGAGGTCTAAAATTGTATCAGTAGCACAAACCTTGATAAATATTATTTTTAACTTAAATATGATTGAAAAACTAGGGGGGGCTATTGATAAAACTGGGGGCTTAGCCCTCCCCAAGTCCCCCCTAATTACGCCTATGCTTATTCGTATAGGTACCTAAACTATTCATACATAATAAATTTATACTCATTTTTGTAAGTCAAATAATATATAATTTTAAACCGTTTATCTAACAAGTAAAAGTTTCAGACTACGACATAATTTTGAAATATATAATAATATAGGTATTTAATCGTAATTATTATATGAGATATTTTGTTTATTATTTTTGGCAACCCCTATAGGCTATGGGGGTTGTAACTCTCGTGTTGAAAACCACTGCACTAGACTTCGGTGACGTACTAACGGGTGGTGTGTGTGTGTGTGTGTGTGTGTGTGTGTGTGTGTGTGTGTGTGTTGGGGGGGGGGGTGATGTTAAGGGAGAATTAATTTTATTTGAATTAAAATATTTGAATTTAGATTTATGTATGCCATTGCTAGACAGTGACCAAATAAGTTTTGTATAACTAAGAAATATTTAATAAATTAAAAGTCATATTCAACTTATCTATAAGATAATATAGGTAAGTTATAAATTATAACCCTCGCCCTAGATGTTCAATGACGTTTACTCCACATTGTTAGTTTCTGTAGGTACGTTACCAGTATTATATACTATGTAGCTTGAGGGAGCGTTTCTCGCTCGATACTCGTAGATATTGATTTCGAGGGTGCGATAGCAGAGTGGACTGTTTGTGGGGTTCGTGGGTCGTGGGGTTGAATAAGCTGTTTGCACAAGCGCAGTCTATCGGCCACCGTGTATCAGTGCGTACTATTCACTTTCAATGTAGGTAGGTGTGTTGTTAGATTTGTTACACAACTCTAGTTAAACCCGAGTATAATTTTATTACATTTTCACAATTTTTAAGTAGGTAATTCTATTCGTTGCTCAACATTTAATAAACTAATTCAGTGATGGACAACAATAATGAAAAACAAATCACAGTAACAGAGCCAACAGTTATACCGATCGATCCATCGATTACACCCCCTACTGCACCGACAATTACAGTGGCTGAGCCAGCAATAACACCAAATGTACAAAGTATTGTATCAGCCGAGCCATCAATTACACCGTCCTGCATTCCAACAATTACACCGATTGAGCCCAAAATTAAAACTGCTAGACCAAAAAATATTCCGGTCAAGTTAATAATTGCACCGCCTAGGCCAAGAATAACATTTACTGAGCCAATAAAAACACCGATCGAGGAGGTAATCATAAAGGATCATATTATTCGGCCTAATCAACCACTGTTTTATGCGAAAAATCCCAAAGGGTGGTTTAATCAATTTGAATCAAAAATATTGGCTGCGGACTTGATTGAAGACTTACCAGTGTATTATGATCTCTTAAAAGAATTAAACAATCATGACATTTTATGTTGTATTCTGGACGTATTTCAAAACATGACTATGGTCAATAAATACATGTATTTTAGAAGCCATTTGCTCAAAAAAATATCTGAACAGGAAAGGCTTATAGAGCTCGTAAGCGATTTAAAATTAGAAGACAAATATCCGTCCGTTCTTTTAAATGAAATGAAACAATTAACGGATAATAAGTTATTAGAACAGAATTTACAAAGCTTGTGGTTACAAAAGTTACCACCTCAGGTACGAGATATACTATTATTATCTTCCGATTCTCTGAGTTCCAAATCATTGTTGGCGGACAACATTAAGGATCTACATTATTCTCCAGAAGTTCAATTATCAAAGGAAGCCGCTAACCAGTATGTAATTAACTTACTTTCAGGAAATATGCACTCAAAGATATTAACTAACATTGAGCTTATTGAATTTATTCAAAGATATGAACATGAACATGGATTGGCTAACTTAGCTGATGATGATCAAACTGAAAATACACAAGCCATCAATAACACAAATTCAATCCAAAAAGAGAAAAAAAAGTCTTGTTTAAATAGTTTTTGCAAATGCATCTAGATTAAGAGTTGTTTGGTATTGTTGCGGTCATTTTCCATACATGCGACTATTATAAGCAATCTATTATTTTTAATCACAAATATACTACATATATACATCTTCAGGTAAAGTACAAGATATACAAATAATATAAATCGTCTGAAAGCAATGTTGTTCAAACTATTTTTACCATGTTTTTAATTAATAACTTCCTACTTTTAATTTTTTTTAAAACAAAATTAACATAGGTAATCACTAATCAATAATCAATGAATATTACAATATTTTCATTTATCGGTCAAGCTACCGACGTTATGTTTAAAGTAAACGAATTCTTAAGTCTAATGTGCTATTCAAAATAATTTTTTGTATATACCTAACTAGATTATACAAAATCATTATTCACATTATTATCTCATTCAGCATATTTGCATAATATGCGGTTTAGAGAAAAAATAATTTTTGTGATTAAATGTTGTAACACTATATAATGAAGTATTAAGTTTGTGTACTATGTTTGTAATTTTTAAGTTTTTTTAATTCGACATTTTTTTAAATTTAATATTCTAAAATCTGAAACAGAATATTTTTCTGAAATTTGGATGTATCTTATTGTATAATCAATGGTATTATTAAAGATTATCCAACCATATAAATGTGAGTTAGAATAATTCAGTTAAGGAAACTGTTAAAAGTTGTTTTGTGGCATAGTTTAATCCAACAGTGAGCATTTGCTTTACACAAATGTTGTGTTAAGCTATGTCCACACAAAGATAACAAAACAAAATAGTTTTTGATTAAAAAAAAATAAATAGATATTCCAGTTTGTGATGGAAGTACTTTGTTTTCAATTTTGCTATGTATAAACCATATATTAACAATTTATACCAAAGTACTTAAGATACCTAGATAAATGATAAATATATCAAAAATATAAACTTAAATGTTAAGTGTATTATGTATAATATTTTATTGTGCATTGTACCATCTGTTATTTTAAAATATTGTTGGTTAATAAATGTTGATTAATGATGCTCTGTTGCACTTTCTTCAGAGATTAGGTAATTCAAATATTCAATAAATGTTTAATGTGGTGGAAGTACAATAAATTGAAGATAATTTTTAAAAAAATTAGAATTTTAGACTATATTTGTCTGATATTAATTCCAACACAAGTGATTCAGATTGATCTGGCTATGCAATAGTTATTTTATGTATAAATACATCTTTTTTTGTTTTCTGTAACTTTTTAAAATAAATGGTTAACCTATCCATCTTCATTTAATTTAAAATATTATGATAATGGCTATGATTCTTTAAAAACAGATTGTTTGTAAATTACATTCCCTTTAATAGTTTCTAAATTAGTTATATTAAATATTAATATGTTCTACACAAATAATATAATCTATATTTATTATATAGTTTTATCATAAAAAGTATAAGTTTAAAACATATAAGTCATGTAGATATATTTTGTTTTTTAATTGTTATAATTACACTATTATAGTATCCTCTTCAATTTATTTTCAAAATGTGAAAATGAATAATTTTTATTTATATATTAAGACAATTTATTATGCACCTAATTGTATTCATGGAAATAAATATTATTTGCTTTTAATTAATCAAACTATCAGATAGTAACAGTATTAATTTGGTTTCTATAGGTTAGACAAAAATGTTAAACCTATTATATATTATTTACGCACTCAAGGTTAGTGTGAAAATGATTTTTTTTTTTTAATACAGAATTTCTAGTTTAGTTATTTAATATTTACAATAATTTAAGTGTGAACTAATTGGAATGCTACAGAATCAGGTTGTAGTAGTTTTTTAGGCTTGAATGGTCTTGATCTGAGTGCATGCGCCTCTAATGGGATCACACTATGACTATAAGCTCAGTGGTATTCTGTTTTCTTCTACACCAAAAATCAGTGGTCAGTACTAAATTTGGTACCAGGCGAGTGGATGACAGTGTTTAATACCATTACCTTACTCTACTTTTCCTACAAAAAATTTGAAATAAATAAAACTTATTCATTTTTTATGTTGTAAAATGTAGTATTGATCAATAGTCAATACAATCAAATATCGGAAATTTATAAAATCATTGTGTTACCAAACAGGGCCGTCCGGACGATTTGCGCGGCCCGGGGCAGAGTAAATTTGTGGGGCCTAAAATGTCATTATCGTCAGTTGGCAGTTGCATTTATTTAAATATTTAATATTATGAACTATGATATATACCTACCTAGGTATAAGGGGGCTACGCGCAAATATACTTAAAAAATATAGTACCTTGTACTTACAATACTATGAATAAGTAAATTAATTAATAATAAAACAGTAAACACGTAATATATTTATACTTAATATAATAATATTGATAAACTAATAAGTCTATAAATATAGTAGGCACCTAATACAATATGAAAAAAGGTAGACAAGTGGGTACCGCTCTGCTGTACAGTGGGTGTCAAGCATGTCGTAATGGATGTGTTATATTTAAATTACATTGATAAATTATTGTAAACGAAAAAATATTCTGAGTGGAGACATTGTATCAGCCTATCACACTTGTAAAAGTAATCAAATTTAGTAGCTAAAAAAAAATTAACAAAGATCGAAAACGTGGCTTCCTGGGGAACTTTTTTAGTTTGATAGAATTACAAAAACTTGTTGGAAACCTTCTATTAAAATGTCTCAAGTTAGGTATGAAAAAAAAACTTTTATGAATTTTGTCAAAATTGGAACTTTATAAGAATATAACAAATAATTGAGCCTATGTATTTTTAAAACTTCCATTAATAAAAATTATAAGGAACCTATCATTACATTTTCAAGATTTTTTACTAAATGAAAAAGATTTTATCGAGGATAATTTTAAAAAAATTTAGAAAAATGGAAAAATTTCTCAAGGGCTCAAGCCTATAACTAGCTCAAAAATAGTCAAAATATTGAGAAAATGTTTTATGGAGAATTCTAATATAAATATTTGTTGAAAATTTCAAGGTTCTATCAGTAAATCGCTCCGCTCAGAATCTAAGCATTTTTTTTCTATAAATATTATAGCTAAGTTGTTGTTTTTTTTTGGGGGGGGGGAGGGCAGAGCGCTTTGAAGATTTTCATAATTTTCAACTTTGAAAATTGAATTTTAATCATATTAATTCGTTTTAAATGCAATACATTTATTTGACGACTGATGTCAATATAAGTAGGTATAGCCGTAGGTATAGGTAGTAAAAATTACAGCAATTAAGGATATAAAAATTAAAAAATATATAAATAATAATTTTTTTTCTCATTAACTTGGCTATTTTATGGTATCTACAAAAGCGGGGCCTGTCCAACTGGTGAAGGCGCGGGGCCCAGGGCGAGGGCCCCGCTTGCCCTGCAATAGGGACGGCCCTGTTACCAAATGGCAAATAACAATAAAAGGGTATAATATTATTATAGTAAATGATAATTACAATAGGTAAAACATTTGAATTGGATATTATAAAGAAGGAATCATCTTAAAAAATGTATGTAGATATTGCAGTTTAGTTTAATAGAATATGAAAGTTAAATTGTTTTTCCACTAGTCTAAAATGTATAATAGAAGTGTCTTAACACGTTGACTGTGTACTGACGCAAATTGGCGTCACGAAAAATGAAGATCAATCAGCAATGTGTTTGACGCCATTATTTTGGCGTCCAATATATATTTAAAGAGAATGGTTTATTATTCTCTACTTGTGGCTGAATACTATTTTATTATTATTTAGTGTGGAATAAGTGCACGTTTTAAAATATTTATATATATGTCGTTTGAACGTATGACTGGAGCCGTTTCTTTATGTTAATTTTAGAGGACTGTTTTTTTATACTTTTATTATACATAAGGGTTAAAACTGTAAAAAGACATACACAGTCAACATGTAAATCGATTGAAAATTTTTTAACTATTTTTTTAAAATACAAATAGCTAGAAATGTTTATTATAAGAATGACTAAATTTAACATAATTAATAACTTAAATGTAGTTAAAAAGGATACAAGAATTCATTAATAAGAGAATGAATATAAGTAATTAAATAACTGATCAAGGTAATACATTTTTAAATAGAAACCACAAAACTTTTTTTTTTAAATGCAATAGTATTTTTTTTTTAATACTTTAATACCAATTAAATTAACATTAGTTTTCTATAAATTTTTTGAAAAATGATTTAAAATTTACAATAATAATTATGTCTTTACTAATCAATTTGGATTTATACAATATTATTATGTATTATGTGAGAGCCTAGAAGTAATTATTTATTTTAAATAATATAAAGATAAATATTAGAAATACTCATATAGAATTAATTTTAAATGTATTATTAAAAAGATGAAACTAATTATAAATCAAAATAATGTTAAAAAAAAAGGTAGTATTTTGTTTGTGTACAGTTAAGTACACTACATTCGAGATACCGTGTTGATGCCCAGTAAATTTAATCCCGTATTCATGTACTCTGCTGTGACTTTACACAGCAATATTCTTCCAGTAAACACTTTAACGATTTCACCTGAAATAAATTGTGTTAATAATTTAGTTTTTATATACATTTTCCATATTTATATCATTAGAAACATAGTGGGAATAAGGTGGCTAAAAAGTTTACCAACAATAAAAGTTTACATGTACTTACAATAATTATTATTACTGTGGTACAAATTATTTTGTTATAAAAATTCATAGAAAAATCTTTTAAAATGCAAAGACTGAGTAATACATTTTGGATTTAAATAATTTTACTGAAAACTAGGCATTAGCAACAATATTGGAAATACATAATTTGTATGCCTAAGGTAACATTATTATTTGGTGATGATATTTTAACAATTCAAATTATTTTCCAATGCTTAAATGTGGCACGAAACAAAATATGTATATCTAAATTAAACATTTTATGATTTAATTTAAAAAAAATCTCTATCATAATAAACGGCAGCATTTTTAGTTGAAACTGTTTTGTTAAAAATCAAGTATTAATTAATTCTTGAAATAACATGGTGATTTGATGTTTAATGTGTTTTTAAGATACTTGACATTTTTCAATGTTAAGAGGTAAATAATTTCTTACAGAATATCAACTTGTTTACATACAGTTGCAATAAATTAGAACGAGTTCAAAGGACAAGATATATTGAGTAATCTAATTAAATTTGGAACTGAAAGATTATTTATAAATATTAACAATAGTTATGTGTAGATGTGGCGCTAGGGTTATACTAGTTTTTGATTAAATTAGGTTAGGTATTGAATAACTTGAAATACCTTGATAATACATTAGCTGTGTCTACATTATTAAAATATCTTCATTGTAAGTTGGTCATAGGAATTTATTGAAAGTTAGAGGATAAAAGAGTAGGATTTGAACCCACAAAATTTGCAAATTTTATCGAAATTAAATGTGCTGTATTGAATTTAACCTAGTTCATCATTGACAAAATAAATTATTGTAAATATAGTAAAAATTACCAGTTTGAGGATTTTTTTCAATGCAATAACAATTGTCATAAAACTCGTTAAATGTTGTAGCCACATCATAAAGATATTCGCATAAATGATGGAGACAAAAATCTTCAGTTATTTTTGATAGTACTTCTGAGAACCGTAACAAAGTCTATAAGAACAAATTAACAATTATATAATATATAAACCAGTAAAAAAAAAAAATGTAAGAAAAACAATACCTTGGCTAGTTTCCATTCTTTATCATGGTCAAGTGAAATAGGCTCATTTAAGTCTTGAGTATGAGTGCCCAAATTATTAATTATGGACCTTATTCTTGTAAGTGCATACAACAAGTAAACCGCTGTATTTCCTTTGTCATCCAACATTTTATCGAAAGAAAATACATAATCATGACTTCTATTATGACATAAATCAGCATACTTAATGCAACCATAAGCCACTGCCGTTTCTGCTAATTTTAATTCTTCATCGGTCAATACTTTGTCTCGGCCTTTTTCCACTAGTTTATCTCTTGCTCTTTTTATACCTATTACAGCAAATTAGTTTTATCAAACAATTAAACGTAATAAATGAACTAGTTAATAAACATGTTACCTTCATCTAAAAGGCTAACTAGACGAACTGTATCACCAGAACGGGTTTTAAACTTTTTCTTATCTTCACCCAACACTACACCAAAACCAACAAAGTCCATGCGAACTTTAGATGGATCTAGAAGACCTGAGTGAATTGCACATTTTTTTAAAGTATCAAAATGTACACTCTAATAAAAACAAAAATCATTTGGTCATAAAAAAAATTACGTACTATGTTGAAATTGTTCATACCTGTCCAGCATCAACGACATAAATAATCCGATCAGCCTTTTCTTCCTCAATTCTCTGTTTTAATGTTGCAATATCTGATGTATCATACGTAAATCCACCATCAGATTTTACTACAGTTAATGGTATTGAGGACTCTGGACTCCACATAATTTTTCTACCATCGTCATTCTCCAAAAATCCTGATTATAATAAAAAAAATATCAAAGTAAATATAATAATTTAGTGATTTAATTTAATTTTCTTTGTTTTTATAAAGAATTTAGACTACTTGCGAAACTTAGCTAAGATTTATCTAATTAAGTTAAGAGGATATTTGTTTTATCTCTCAGGCCCATGCTCATAATAGACAAAACGCAGAATAATATTTTCTATGTTCGTAAGTAACCTTAGAGTAAAATCACCCATAACAGAAAAAGATAGAGAATAATATTTTTAAAGGCTAATAAAAATAAAAATAAAATATTTTTGAGGGAATGTCATAACGATTTGTCTAAATATTGTCTCAAAACAATTTAAACATAATTTAAATGTACAACATTTTTTGGTTTATTTTCAAAGTAGAATACAAAGTCATATAACAATAAAATATAAAATCGATATTTCATTCCCTCAAAAACATTATACTCTATTTTTTTTTGTAATTTACTCTAAGATTAATTAAAAACATAGAAAAAATTATTCTAAGTTAATGTGTTTTGTCTATTCTGGAACAGAGAGAGAAAACAAATAGAGTACTGACATCCTCTAAGTAAATAATATGTAGAGTAAAAAAGGTAAAAGTATTCGTCTGGCGGTGGTCAGATGCTTCTCCCACCCAGCCAACCACTGGTTCGGCATTCGGAACGAAGACACACCCACAAGCCCAATTCGGCTGCCCGGTACCTTTCTTATTATTAATAGAGTATAAATGTATACTTTAAAAAATACCTTTGTTTTCCAGATCTTTAACTACATTTTCCATACGGCCTTGGTAAAATGATTCTCCTCTTTCAATGATGCTGATATTTAATCTTTCATATATTTTTTGAAATTCTAAAAATAAGTTTGCAAGTTATATAATATTATACCTTTATTTTTTTAATTTTTGATTTAAATTAATATCATGATGATTATTGGGAAAAACTCGTGTGGAGGCTCAGGGAAATATATACATATATATTGGTACTAGTGTTGTATGTGATCTACTGCTAGTAGATAGCAATTTAATGTCAAATATCTAATTGAGTGTAAACATTTTCAATGAATTCTTAAACAACATTTTTATAGGGCATTATTTTTTAATTTAAAAATATATATATAAAAAAATTGATATATCGTAACTTTTTTAAAAACAAGAAAAAATTATAAATATAATAAGTTTTAAAATTGACAAGTTATGGTGTTTAAAACTTTAAATAAATATAACGAGTAAATATTAAATACTTAATTAATAACCTACAATTAAAAATATTATTTCTTATGTTTTGATTTGGGATAAAGATTGCTTAATAACGACAGATTGAATACAACACAAGAAGGTTTATGGTAGATCACATATAAGATTAGTACCTATATATCTATCAAGGTTATCTACTCAGTTTGGAAACAACCTATCTAACTCCACTGTAATATACGGCCATGCGGCGTTATTGTGAACTACCCAACAGTGATTATTAAGTAAAGACTTTTAAAATTTACTTATTTACAAGTTTTAACTTAAATATTGTAGATCTGATTAGTCAATTTAATTAACTATAATTGATATTACGATCTATAGATGAAAATTATAATCATGGAGAAGTGTTGTTTTGTCTATCGTTCTTCTGGATATAACAGCAACAAAGAAATGATTTAAAAATGTCCAGTAACAGGTTAAAGGAATTTCTGTTAAATACCCAAAGAATTGAATACTTATTTTATAACTATTGTTATATATTAATAAGCATTTAGCATCTATACAGAGGATATAACAGGAAAACCTGACAAATGAAATAACTTTTGTTCTACTCAATATTTTTGATTCTTGCGTTTACATATTATAATATAGTATAACATTTTTATTTTTATTTTTTAACACTTAAAATAAAACATTTTAAATTTGATGTATCCATCTCAATAATTTTGTTAAGTAAAATTGATCCAATATTAAAAAAACATTAAGCTTATAAACTTTTTTCAAATATTTTATAAGAATTTTTTAGTAGTTTACTAGGTTAAAATCTAATTTATTTTTAAAATGTATTTACTTTTCAAATCAACGAGTTACTTCATAAAAAATGAACCATTTGACTTAGAAAAATGTTTTTACAATCAAAAGTTTTCTTAAATCTAGAAATACAAATTGGATATTTTGAATTTTTCAAAAACAATTTTATTTAGATTTTTATTTTCTGTATTAAAAAAAAAAAATGTTATATTATACATGTAGCGCAAATATCAATAAATTGTATATATAAAACAATATTAATTAATTTAATTTGTCAGGTCTCCCTGTTACACCATGTATAATATACAAGAAATTTATATTTTTCAAAATGGTTTTATTCATTTATTGTTCTAAACTAATTCTTTATAATTGATTCAAGTTTGATTTGAAGTTGGGTTACAAAATATAGTTTACATTACATGTATATTATACGTGGAGTAATTCTTTATTGACGTTCAGTGGACCAACTACTACTGGCGATTATAGTTCAGTAATCCACCGCTATGTAAAATGTTATCATACCTCATTTCACAACCTGAGTAGATAACCATGGTCTCTATAATATAATGTTATATAATAATATAAGCACTAAGTACCTTTTCTTGATACATCACAAATCAATTTCCATGCTTGAACATGATCAGGTGACATACTTTGTAATTTAACAACACAGTCATAAGCCCGTTTTTTGAACTCTAAATCACTATCAAAAAGAACTTTGGATTGTTTATAAAATTGTTGCAAATCGTTTATAGGAGGAGACTCGGTCTTGTAATTAGGGAACTCGTCTTGAAGTAGAGCAATTAACATACCAAATTGTGTGCCCCAGTCACCAATATGATTTATTCTCAATACATCATGACCAATAAATTCAAATACACGGCATAGACTGTCACCAATAATTGTTGACCTAAATTTACAAACAAAAGTGAATAATGTTAAAGTATTTTAGTTGTGAATTCCACCAACCTTAAATGACCAACATGCATTTCTTTAGCAACATTGGGTGATGAAAAATCTATTACAATCTTCTGTGGATTAGTTAATGGTTTTGGCTTCAATTTATTTTCCAGTACAAACTGTAGAATGTCTCTAAGCTTATTACGACTTAACCATACATTGATAAAACCTTGTCCAGAAACATCTACTTTTTCAATAATATTGCATTGTCCTAAACATTCCACTAGTTTTTTAGCAACTACATTAGGCGACACATTTTCACCTGAAATATATTATATTTAATTATATATACTTATTAATATTTATAATTTTTAATATAATAATAATATAATACATGGTATTTCGGTAATTTAAGAGTATAAAATTTAGCCAGATAATATGTAATTTTAATTGTAATATGTAATTATGTAAATTGTATATATTAATGAAATATTTTATTGAACATTTTGAACCATTAACTTCTAAAATAAATAAATAAAAAAATTTATGTAATAGAGTAATAAATTACATATTACTGAAACTAGTTACAATTTAAAATAGTGGTTTAAATGTTACCTTTTGCTTTCAAAAGTTTACATATTTGCATTGATGCGTTGCATTGATAATCAGCAAATTTACTACCAGCAGATACTGCAGGTTGGCCAATGTCTTCTAATGTCGGATATGCTGTTTTAATAGCGTTTGAAAACAAACTGATTAATATAGAATGTAAATTAATCAAAGCATGTTCTTCAATATTTATTGAGTCCATATTTGATTCCTCATTTGACTCTTTAACTGCAGCCTAAAAAAAAAAAAGCTGGTTAGTGGATGTCGCTCTGTTGTACAGTAGGTTACAAGTAGGGCATTGTTTAATGGATTGAACTTGAATTCAATGATATTCTATCATTGTATAAGAAAAAACGATTCTGAGTGGAGACGGTTTGTCAGTCTAGATATTTTATATTGTTATTAATTATTATATCATGTAAGTTGAATTAATATTATAATTTTTTATTTGTTTCTATGGTAATTAACAAAGCGTTAGAAATTAAAATCCAGTTTTTAGAGGTTTTTCGTAATTTTTTGGTGGATTTTATAGTGGCATTAAATAACTATTGATAAAATCGAAAAATGACCTCTCTAAAATACCATCATGATCCAATTTGCTAAAAGATAGGGTACTATATGTTGAAATCAAAGCACTCCCTCTGATAGAAATTTTGTATACAGGATATAAAAAGAATAAAAAGAATAAAATAAAAATAAACACCATTGTAAAACCACTAGCTTCCTCGCTCCGCTCAGAATCTAAAAACAATATGAGACATTATATTGTTTAAGTTAACAAGCTTTAAAATATTGCCTAGTTTTTAAATATTAAGAGGATGTCAGCCAACTATTTGTTTTCTCTCTCTGACCCACACGCAACATACCAAATTTTAAGCTCACAATAATGATTATAATCATAATAATTTCTAAAATTAGAGTGAAATTACCTCTTATAAAATTTAAAGGTAAAATTAATAATAATTATTATTGTGAACATATAATTTGCTATGTTACACGTGGGTCAGAGAAAGAAAACAAATAGTGCCCTGACAATTTCTTAGTATTATGATATAAAAGTAAATAAGTACACTGTTTACATATTACGTACATAAAACTTGAAAATGTACTATTTAGTTTTTGGGTAATTAACTATTTACAAAAACATAAAAAATATACTTATACGATCATGATTTTAAAATCTTCTGTTAAAACTTAAAAATTTATATTGTCAGTTGATAAAAGCAATAAAAATAAAAACATTTAAATTATTCTTTGGCTGATTTATACAAATTTAATTTGGTTTCATTGACACAATAGTACTTACACTCTTTTTTTTTGCATCCATACTAATTTAAATAAAAGTAAATTGTTAGAAATATGAAAATACTAATTATTTTATATTATTAAACATATTTGTTGGTTAGATGACGGTTTATGCGGCCTCCGTTTTATAAATGTATAATATACTAATGTAAAAAGTTTGTGTAGTAAGTTTAAATATTAGAATAAATTGGCCCTCAAATTGACCCATTAGAAAACTTAGAGGTAAGAATATTATCTGTGATTTTTAACGGATTTTATATGATATTTATATTTTTTAGTAAGTTATGAAAATGTTTAAATTGTAATATTTTACATAGTTAAGTACTCATTACTTGGTTTAAAATTAAAATATCATAAAAAAACCACCAGTAATCACAGATAATGCTCTTAATTTTAAATTTGACCATAGGTAAATTCACTATAATATTAAAATTAGGTACTACACAAAATTGGAACTTCTGCAAACAATATTTTACTATGTTGTACATGTGTAAGAGACAACACATGCGGGTGACATTCTCTCAGTGATATAAATAGTTTTAAATCAGTATGTTAAATGTAAATTATATAATATTTCAATTTATACAGTGTTGGGTAAGTTACTTTTAAAAAAGTAATTAAGTTACTTTACTCGTTACTAAGAGATAAATGTAATTAAGTTACTTTATTTGTTAGTCAAATAAAATTGTAATGAAATTACTTTACTTTTCGAATAGAAAAGTAACTAATTATTTTCTCGTAACAAAAAAAAAAATTTAATTTCTCGGCAATTATCCCCTGCAGGCAAATTGAACAAGCAAATTCTTTATAAAACCTGTATAGTTAATAGGATCGTATAAAACTTAGTCTTCCACACAAGCTATTCATAGGAAACCTTTTTAAAGGAATCAAATTAAATAATACATTTAATAAATTAACTTATATTATAATTTAATGTTAAAATCTCATTAATAAAAAAAAAAATTAATTAACTGTTTTCGTAATTTTTAAGGTGCAATTAGACATTTCAAATGTCGAAACCATTGAAAACTGAATTGTGGAGAGTTAAAATTAAATATATATACATATTAGATTGGTAAACATAATAATACCCATATTATACATGTAGGTACCTATTTTTTTTCAGTTTGCAATAGGTAGGTAGATACTTAATAATTTGATACTGTAATGCGTTATTCTATAGAAATTACTTTTCAAAAGTAATTTACATTACATTGTTGTTACTTGGAAATAATTCTAATGAAATTACGTAACTCGTTACAAGCAAAGTAACGCCTTTACAGTAACGTGTTACTTTCGTTACGTTACTACCCAACACTGAATTTATATTATCATAGTGATCTAGTGATGAAGAAATGACTATTAATATATATACAAAATGTATATGAAAGGTATTTTAGAATTATCATAACAATTCCCAGAAACTGAAACAAGGAAATGAGTCTAATTTAGTTAATTTATTACAGTAGGTAACGTTAATAGACTTTTTTCTAGGCTTGTTTTTTAGACTAGGTAAATTATTATAAATGATTAGACATAAAAAACAGTTAATATTATGTCAAATTGTCTGTAGACTTATAAACTTGCCTCCTGCTTCGTTAAAATATTTAACCATTCTGAGGTAGGTACTGTTATAAAATAAAATAAATTATATAATAAAATGCTTACTATAAGGTATTAATGTATACAATTTAAAAATTGGTAAGAAGAGTATACATAATATGGTTTGAATTAGATAACAAAATATTTATTTTTGATTTAAGAAAATAACAGCAGTCAGCACTCAGCAACCACGTCTAAAAATGTCTGGGAATATTTAATTTCTTAACTAATGGTAGAGCAGACAAAATACAATAATATTAAAAAAGGAAGTTAATGAGTACTAATATTATCAAGGTAATAGAATAAATCTTCAAGGCTCTAAGAATATTGTGTTATCAACTGACATAAAAAACAATATCCCTACAAGTATTATTAAAATGTACATGATATATTTGATCTTTAGTCAAAATGACAAAATGTAATGTGAATATGAAGAGCTTTTTGGTTAATTAATTCAACAATTGCAAATTATTATATTATATATTTTATAAGAGACCTGTCACAAACAGTGATCGATAGCCATCAGAAATGGATGGAATAGTAGAGAACTTGGTACTGTGTAGCTCTAAAACATTCGTTTACTCTAATAAAGTTATATCGACAATAATACTAACCTCTTTTAACAACTTCAACCTGTATCTGAGTTTTTGGTTTTGAGATTCCAACAGTTGTCGTTCATTCTCCTTCTCCGCTTTGAAGTCCTCCAGTTGTTCAATATCCTTGATTAACTGAGGAATCGAGTCAAGTATAGCATCCATAATTAATATTTTATTGATGATGAATTTCGTCGCAAACAATAAAATAAATAAATGTAAAATCACGTGCCAATGCCAAATTGACAAAGTAAATAATAAAGGGAACGCTGACAATATTTGATAATGAACTACGAAGAGATGATAACGAATGGTGACACAAACAATCATCAATTTCTCATTATCAGTGTTATCTATATTATTTGTGATAGTGGCCTCAATAAATTTTATTAAACGATATTGTCGATATTTAAAATTAAACGAATTAATTTAAACGAATTATAGCGTTTTTCATAACTACTTTAGTACTTTGTCATGGCATATTTCACCCATTGAACTATAATATTAAAGTTCAATGTTTTCACCATACCCATAGATAATATTATAATCTAGATCTATATTGAATATATGGATATAATATCTAGATATAATCTATACTCTATAGATCATAATATTATCTATGACCATACCACGGTTTTAGATATAGCTCTATGATATTTTTGGTATTTGGTGGAGAACATTCATTACCATAAGAGTAATATAGACACTAATTGTCTATCTACGCTGTGCATTGTGCATAGGACTATAATTACCCAGTAAACACAGCCCGTATAATATACGTGTATACTAATTACTAAGGATAATGTTGGTGTATATATATACGTAATTAATATTCGTATAATATACGTTAATACAGCTTATTATATATTATTTTATATTTTTCACAAACTTCAGTTCATGTTTTCTGAGAATCACTGAAACTGATAAAAATGCATGAGTGACTGGTTAAATCAGGCTCCTAAGGGGAAATCCTAATAATATGATTATCGATTTATATTTATACTAAAACATGATTTTTGTGATTATATAAATACTAATATTTTATATTTAACTAAAATTAATAAACTACTATAGTACCTACTCTTATATAAATAAAAAGTGCATATTCTACATTTTCTACCGACACCTTTCTGGATCCATATAAACGTTACTTAAATTATGAATTTTAATCCATGTAAATTGTAATATTAAAAATGTACATAATATAAAGGTATTACCTACACCAAATATATAGTAGGTACCTAAATATAAAAATTATTTTTACATGTTTATCCACGAAGTTTATACTAAAATACACTTATATGATATACCATATACGAATCATACCTATCCCAAATTTATACTAGGTACTAGTATATACGAATCATATCCCAAATTTATACTACTAGTATAGGTATACGTATTTTAAAAGTAATTTATACGTTGCTAACTACATATATATATACTCGTATAATATACACTAATTATTATAAACGTAATTTTTGCCACTAATACCTATATACCTACGTATTTAAAACGTTGAATATACGTTAGAATTTACGTTTATTACACACATAATATACGTTGAATATCTATCTTTTGACCCAAAAATATCCATAATTTCTATTTTTCATCAACTAAATATATTTGTTGCGGAGTGGACTGTAACTTTCCGATACTGGTTACTTCGGATACTCAGCTGGTTGATTAGGCTATTATTTTAAATTAATAACTTATACGCAATTGAGCAAATAGAATATTAAATTATTTTATTTTCACTATAATACGGAGCCGACATGTCCCGTTCGCTCTTTTTCGACGACTGCTAAATTAATACCATACAAAATTGATCGAGGGCAAACCCGTCGGCCTCACTAGCCGATAACAATATTATCATTCCGATTATTATAGATATTCGATAGTCGATAACATTTCAACCGATACGTGACATGCCGCCCGCCTTGAAATATTTTTCAAACAACAATAATTATAATACATGAGTACAGGACTAATATCATAACATAATAATGTGAAATATCATAATGAATAATAATAGGTATCAAAAAAAAAAAAAAAAAATTCTATTGTTGTTACATATTAATAATAATACGAATAAACATCATACAAATAATTCATATCAAAAAAAAAAAATTTATTACAAGAATTAATTTATTTTGGCCTTTGATTTAACCATCATTGCCTTCGAATGGTAGTGGACACAGCTTACGCACTGCCCGGGTTAACTCGCCATCAACCGTTTTTACTACCGCGGTACGAATGATGTTGTCACTTCCCCGTGTCACCTCTCTCACTCGTCCGATTTTCCACCGTAAGGGTGGCAGATTATCTTCACTAATTAAACTACACTGCCGATATCCACTTTGGGTCCCTTTTCACTAGCCCATCTTGACCTCTCTTGCAATTGATGCAAATACTCTCGACTCCAACGCTTCCACAAAATTTGTGAGAATTGTTGAACGCGACGCCAACGGTCTAACCGGTTTACCTGAGTATTTGTTTCATCCCGCTCCGGTATAGACATTAGGGAGTCTCCGATTAGGAAATGAGCTGGAGTGATGTATAATAAATCGGAAGGATCCGAGGACAAAGCCGTTAAAGGCCGAGAATTTAAACACGCTTCTACCCTAGTGAGTATAGTACATAACTCTTCGTACGTTAAATATGATTCGCATAGTACACTTCGTAATAATGATTTCATCGACTTAACCGCTGCCTCCCATAATCCCCCAAAATGAGGCGACCTGGGGGGAATAAACTTCCATTGTACTCCTATTGTAGCCAGACCAGATTGAACGATCTCTTGATGCTTTTGATCTCGGAAAAGTTGATATACTTCTTTTAAATGCCTGTTTGCTCCTACGAAGTTGGTAGCATTGTCGGAATAAATCATAGCACATTTACCCTTGCGATCAAAAAATCGGTTCAACGCATTTAAAAATGACTTTGTGCTCAAATCTATAACGACCTCAATATGCACCGCCTTAGTAGCAAAACATACAAATATACAAACATACCCTTTTGTCGCGGGTGCATTTCGCCTTAAACTCTGTTTTACCATTATAGGCCCCGCGAAATCGACACCGCAGATTTGAAATGCACGAGATTGGATTTCTACACGCTCTCTAGGTAAATTACCCATGATTGGTTGTACCACGGTAGGCTTCATTCGAAAACATTTCACACAACGGTACACGGTCTTTCGAGCTATATTCCGGGCATTAAGTGGCCAATATTGCAGCCGGATCGACGCTAACATTGCTTGTGGACCCCCGTGTAATAACTGTTCATGCTCCCGTTGAAACAACAAATTTGTATACGCGGACTCTTTTGGTAATAATATGGGGTGCTTTTGAAAAATGCCTAATGATAACGCATTTTTTAGCCGCCCGCCCACACGGATTAATCCCTCTTCGTCGAGAAACGGTCTCAATCTGAATAACTTGCTTTTCGACGATACCTGACCATTTTCCGAATTTAATTCATTTAACTCCTTTTCAAAATGGTCCTTTTGTACTTTAATTAAAAGTCGCAAATTTGCATTATGTAAATCAGTTGTTGTTAAAACTCCGCACTCTGCTCTTTTTGGTTCTTTTATTTTATTATAAAAACGCACGCAATAGGCGGTAATTCGTATTATTTTATTCAACGACGAATACTTGTCAAATATAGAAAATGTATCCGTGGTAATACCGGAAAATTCTATAACGTTTTGTTTTTCAGGAATATTTTTACCATTTAATTGATGGTGTAAAACCTCATTTTTTGCCGGCCAATCCTCTTTATTTAAACACAACCACTTCGGGCCATACCACCATAATTCCATAGCCGCAATTTGTGACGCATCACACCCGCGCGATATTAAGTCAGCTGGATTGTGGTGTGTACTAACGTGGGACCACTCACTAGTGCAGGATAAATCCTGAATCTCTCCAACCCTGTGGGCAACAAATGTTTTCCACCTGGTGGACGGTGACGAGATCCAAGCAAGAGTAATAGTAGAATCCGACCAAAAATATTTTCTCTCTATTTCTAGTCGTAATTTTGGAATTACACGATGCTGCATACGCGCCAATAGTAACGCAGCACATAGTTCTAGTCTCGGTAATGATATCGTTTTTAACGGTGCGACCTTAGATTTGGCGCATATAAGTCTCACTGTATGTGTACCTACTTTGTCCGTACTACGTAAATACAAACATGCGCCATAAGCTTTTGTCGATGCATCAGCAAATCCATGAATTTGGATATTTATGATTTTATGTTTACTAATAATCATATGCGGAATTACTAGTTTATTTAGTCGCGGTAAACATTTTTTGTATTGTAGCCATTCGTCGGATACGTCTTTCGGTAATTGTTCGTCCCAGTTTACACGTAACTGCCATAAATTTTGCATAAATAATTTAGCTACTACTACCACTGGACCTACTAAACCGAGGGGGTCGAATATTGTAGCTATTTCGGACAGTATTTTTCGTTTGTTAATAATTTCCGTATTTTCAACGTATTCGCTTACTTTATACCGTAATACGTCGTCGCTCGGTTCCCAGAATAGGCCTAGTATTTTTGTTATCGCACAATCGAAAACACGCACGTCGTTACCCGCACCTTTGTCACCGACCGACATATTACTATTTATAATACTAGGGTCATTGGACGACCACTTCCGTAGCTCGAAACCCGCTTGCTCTAATATTGACAGTACTTCATGTTTTAACCTTATAGCTTCTTCTTTTGTTGACGCGCCACTCAAATAGTCATCCATATAAAAATCCCTTTTTATGGATTCACGTGCACGTAGGTAATCGTTTCCTGTCTCAGCCAATTTTTCTAAACAAGCTGTTGCTATGAAAGCTGCAGGTACTGTACCGTAAGTTAATGTGGTAAGACGATAAACTTGTATTGGCATTTTTGGATCGGCTCGCCACAATATCCGCTGATAGTTACAATCTTCGTTAGCTACTTTAATTTGTCGGTACATTTTTGTAATGTCAGCTGATAAGACATAATTATAGGTACGGAAACGCGCTAGTATGTATAATAGTTCGTCCTGCAAAACGGGCCCTTTTAATAATAAATCGTTCAAGCTGTTGCCAGATTCTGTCTTACAGGACGCGTCAAACACCACCCTCACCTTGGTCGTCGTACTATTTTCATTTATAACC